GCTGCAGGGAGATCTGGTAAAGGCCAATAAATGTGTGTTTAATGAAAAGGATGTCAGTGAATCACAGGAAGGACAATGTCGTCACTGTCACAAGATCTTTCATGTAACGTCACAAGATTCCTCAAAAGTCTGCATCAAGGTGGTACAACTGTTAGCATTAATATCAAGCCTGCTCAAAAGGCAGTAACTAAATACATTTATTCAAGTACTGTACTAAAGTACAAATTGTTATGTGTGTACATAAGAGCTGGACCCAAAAGCATGACAGAGACAGATCACAGTTCACTAGTCAAGAGAGTTTATTGAGGAATAAACAGTTTGGTGGGGGCGAGGGAGTTAATCCAGGTCCAGATAGGGAAAACTGAGCGAGGAAGTTGGACTGAGAGGAAAACCACGCCCACCTGTAAACTCACAGGGGAAAACAGACAGACACAATAGGATGGGGAAACAGAACAAAAGGTAGACAGAGGACAGAGACCACTGGATACAACACAAATCTGAGGTGCTTGTACTTGACTTGAGTGTTTTCTTTTCATGCCACTTGTACTTCTACTCCACTATATCTCAGAGGGAAACATTGTACTTTTAACTTATACACTGCTCAAAAAAATAAAGGGAACACTAAAATAACACATCCTAGATCTGAATTAATGAAATAATCTCATTAAATACTCCTTTCTTTACATAGTTGAATGTGCTGACAACAAAATCACACAAAAATTATCAATGGAAATCAAATTTATCAACCCATGGAGGTCTGGATTTGGAGTCACACTCAAAATCAAAGTGGAAAACCACACTACAGGCCGATCCAACTTTGATGTAATGTCCTTAAAACAAGTCAAAATGAGGCTCAGTAGTGTGTGTGGCCTCCATGTACACAACGCGTGGGCATGCTCCTGATGAGGTGGCGGATGGTCTCCTGAGGGATCTCTTCCCAGACCTGGACTAAAGCATCCACCAACTCCTGGACAGTCTGTGGTGCAACGTGGCGTTAGAGGATGGAGCGAGACATGATGTCCCAGATGTGCTCAATTGGATTCAGGTCTGGGGAACGGGTGGGCCGGTCCATAGCATCAATGCCTTCCTCTTGCAGGAACTGCTGACACACTCCAGCCACATGAGGTCTAGCATTGTCTTGCATAAGGAGGAACCCAGGGCCAACCGCACCAGCATATGGTCTCACAAGGGGTCTGAGGATCTCATTTCGGTACCTAATGGCATTCAGGCTACCTCTGGCGAGCACATGGAGGGCTGTGCGGCCCCCCAAAGAAATGCCACCCCACACCATGACTGACCCACCGCCAAACCGGTCACGCTGGAGGATGTTGCAGGCAGCAGAACCTTCTCCACGGCGTCTCCAGACTCTGTCACATGTGCTCAGTGTGAACCTGCTTTCATCTGTGAAGAGCACAGGGCGCCAGTGGCAAATTTGCAAATCTTGATGTTCTCTGGCAAATGCCAAACGTCCTTCACGGTGTTGGGCTGTAAGCACAACCCCCACCTATGGAGGTTGGGCCCTCATACCACCCTCCTGGAGTCTGTTTCTGACCGTTTGAGCAGACACATTTGTGGCCTGCTGGAGGTCATTTTGCAGGGCTCTGGCAGTGCTCCTCCTGCTCCTCCTTGCACAAAGGCGGAGGTAGCGGTCCTGCTGCTGGGTTGTTGCCCTCCTACGGCCTCCTCCACGTCTCCTGATGTACTGGCCTGTCTCCTGGTAGCGCCTCCATGCTCTGGACACTACGCTGACAGACACAGCAAACCTTCTTGCCACAGCTCGCATTGATGTGCCATCCTGGATGAGCTGCACTACCTGAGCCACTTGTGTGGGTTGTAGACTCCGTCTCATGCTACCACTAGAGTGAAAGCACCGCCAGCATTCAAAAGTGACCAAAACATCAGCCAGGAAGCATAGGAACTGAGAAGTGGTTTGTGGTCACCACCTGCAGAACCAATCCTTTATTGGGGGTGTCTTGCTAATTGCCTATAATTTCCACCTGTTGTCTATTCCATTTGCACAACAGCATGTGAAATTGATTGTCAATCAGTGTTGCTTCCTAAGTGGACAGTTTGATTTCACAGGAGTGTGATTGAGTTGGAGTTACATTGTGTTTTTTTTGAGCAGTGTGTATTAGGTTCAGTAACTATATATATGTATTTGCTTCAGTAACTATAACTCACTGGATCTTTTAGGTAGAGTTCTCAAATTTGTATACAAAGTATCCACATTTGTTCACTACAAATGGCACCAATTCAATCCTCTACAAGAATATCACAGACCTCGTGAGTTGACGTCAAATGCGTTGTGTTCCCTTATTACAACCTATACCAATAGCGGGGTAGGTTGTAACAATCACACAAAAGAATCAAAAATAGATGCCACACTATATGATATGCTTCCAAAACAGGTAATTATATAAAAGAACAATATTTTTCTCTTGCTGCAACAGACTTTGTTATGTGTATGTAAATTTATCTATAGAATAAACATACTTAAAAGTATACTTAATACATACTACTAAAATGTAATTATTTAAAGAACATTTCTGTACATCCTTAGGTCTAACTAAAAAGAGGGTGTGTGTGTGTGTGTCAATGTGTGTATATTCTTATTCAGAGTCACAGTCAGTGCTTGAAGTGGGCCGGTATTCATGGGCACGTATACCAGCACTTCTATATTTTACTATTTGGCTTACTGGGACTTTTTCCTACGCACAGGCACTTCTCACAAGCTGCCCATACACTTTTCTACACTCTCCACTGGCGGAGACCGAATATGGAAAGGGTCAAGTGACGATACACACGCCAACATGTGTACAACATGTGAATGGGGAGTACTGGTCACAGTGCTGACAAATTAATGCCGGTAACCCTGGAGTGCGGGTTTGGTGGGCCCAGACAGAAAGTCCCTAGTTGTATGTATAGGGGATGGGTGCAACGCTTTTTAAAGAAGTGTTACAATCCACCCTGTTAGGAGTGTGGTTTTGTGTTCATTTCTTTCCTGTTTTAGTCTGTTTTTGGATTCTGTGTTTCTATAGCTGTATTTGATCTGTCATGTTTAGGGTTTTGTAGCTAAGTCTAGTCCTTTGTTCATTCCCATGTTTAAGTTTTCTTAGTATCTGTCTTGTCTCGTATTCTAGTTATATCCTGCATTCTTATCCATGTCAAAGTCTCTACTCCTGGTCCCGTGTACTTCGATATTATTTTGTCCGTGTTTGCTCTGCGTTCTGTTTAATCTTAGTTCAGTCTGTTTTCCCTGTTAGTTGTAGTTTTAGTGATCTGTCTGCTTATGTTCAGTTATTTATTCTCTGTTTTGTTCCTGGTTATTATTAGTTTCCCTATGGCCTTATTGGTGTCTGTCTGTTTTCCCCTGCTGTCTCTCTGCCTGCCTGTGTCTCATTAGTCCTGATCCCCCTCACTTGTGTTGCTCCTGCCCCGCTCGTTAGTCCCTGTGTGTGTATATATGCCTGCTTGTGTCTTCAGTCTTTGTCACGTCCTTGCGTCTGTGTTGAGTGTTCCGTCCTGTACCGGCACTTGTGGATTAATTCGTGGTTTGTACCTTATTCCTTTGTTTTGGATTTTTTCCCTATGGATTATGTTTTTGTTTGGAGTAAGTTTTGTTTGGACCATTGCCACTTAGCTCCCAGTGTAAGCCTACTGTACTTGTTTAATAAAATCTTTTGTTTGAACTGCAACCGCCTCGCCTACGTCTGCATTTGGGTCCACACCTCAGTCCTCAGCCTGCACTCAGCGCACCCATGACACACCCTGTCAGCCAATGTTTAGCTAGCTGTGTTACCATAGTGGTTTGAAATTAGAAAGGAAAAAATGCATCACATGTTGCCTAAGAAACTACATTTCAATCTAATATAAGTCAAACAATTATATCTGCAATAGTATAGATACTAAACCAAAAATAGTCTTGGTTAAAAACTTTACTTTCTTAACTCAAAATCATTTTGTTCTCTTTATATTCTAAATGCACCTCTTTCCAGACTTGATAACCGCCATGCCTAATAGGGGAGGAAGCAGGTAAATACTGAAATGATCACATAACTCCTATCTTATCTCTATTTGGTGGAACTGGTGTTGTTACAACCGTACCCGGTCTGCCCTATTTATATTAACAGCTTCAGTTGTTCCTTTACAAATTAAGCTTCTTACACACAAAACATATGGAGAGTTTAAAAAATGTGATGTTTTGAATAACTTACACGACACAACAGTTTATATAAGTAAAAACAGCTGAAACGATTAATTGTTTCAACTGTTTTTCATGGAAAAACATTTCATTGTTCTAACTTCACAAATGTGAAGATTTGCTGCTTTTCCTTTTACTTATTTTAATAATTTGAATGTATTGTTAATAATGTTAAGGTTGGGACTGTTGGTTGGACAAAAACAAGCATTATGAAGGTATCACTTTGGGCTCTGGGTTATTGTGACAAACAATCAATCGATTACTGGAGAAAATAATCAGCAGATATATTCATAATGACAATTTAAACTTACATTTACTCATTTGGCAGACACTTTTATCCAAAGTGACTTACATTTGAGGAACAACATACAAGCATCAATAAAGCGTCTATAAAGTAGTAGATCTACTAGTGACAATAAATACTAGTTAGAGCTAACAGCGCATACAGCATCAATGGGGTAAATACCTAGGGAAAGAAGTAAGAGTTAACGAATAGTGCAATAAGAGAACTGTAAGGAGATGGAAGAGTTAGAGCACACGAAGTGCATGAGGTGTTAGAAGAGGAAGTGTTCTTTGAAGAGAGGGGTTTTCAAGAGCCTCTTGAATTTAGAGAGGGACTTACCGGGAAAGTCATTAAATGACATTAGTGCACTTTTAATTAGGTTCTTAAAGGACACAGGAGTGGCAGAAATGATATCATTATTGTTTGTTTTGTTTTTCTGCTTATTTTTTTGTATCCAGTACAGTAGGTGGCGGTAATGCACCATTTAAGTTCGATGCCAGTCTGCCAAATAAAAGAAGTAGAAGAAGAAGCGAGCAGTTTGAGTCGGTTTCATGACGCTGATTTACTGTAGCTGCTCCTCTGTGAGAACTAGCAAACACACATTGAAGTTATGTAGCACACAGAAGGAGGACTTTACCCCGCTGTGACCCGCTACCGTTAGCTAATGTTACAGCCCCTCACCTCGGCTGGTTATTAAAGTACTGCGGCTCCATTTGCTGCTAGCTAACTAGCTTAGCCACACGCTAGCAAACAAGCTGGTGTGAGTTTGAGATGTGTGCTGCTGCTGCTGTTTGTTTCTCTCTCTCCCTCGTCTTGACTCAGCTGCCGGGCGGCTAACCTAACACCCAACACTACAGTTTCTGTCCGCTTCATCCATCTCCTCTTATGCTGTCGTCGCTACCAGGTGTCCCAGCTGAAAGATGTGGCAGAGTGTCGGGCTCACACTGCTGGTCATTGTGGCCACACTTGTCTGTGCGCTGCTCTTCATGCTGTTTGGTGAGTTTAAAGAAAAATAACCTTACATAACTCGCTGAGCCATTTTTGACTGCTTCAGCGGTTTTGATAGGATTGGTTTTAACAAATCAGTGAGGCAACATTAATAGCTAAAGAAAATAAGCTGGATGGTAAACTTATAATAGGAACAGTTGAAACAGTTTGCCCCTAAATGTCCACCTGTTTCTATAAAGTTGCATTGTAAGGCAGGTCAGAGTGGATTAAATGTCTTTGACCGGCAAGTTTCGATTACAGCAAGGGGTTTCTATTTTTATCATGCGGAGAGGAGGAGTCTGGCAGAGGTCAGAACATAAACATGGCTGCTCCTTTACTGCTCCTCTCCTCAAGCCTGCAGGTTTATTACTCAGGCCCACACCTGCTCAGATTTTTCTTGGACAGACTGACTGGCCACACCTGAGCCAGCAGGGAAAGGGGGAGAATGTGAAAAGAAACTTGTTTTGAAAGTATTTCCAGAGTCCTCAAAGACACATTTGCAGTGGTTGAAGAAGTTTTCAAATAATTTACTAAAGTAAAAGTAGCAATACTCCATATAAGTCCAAGTTAGGCATTCAAAATGTTACTAAAGTACTTTCAGCCAAATATAAGTTAATTACTTAATACTGTAGTTGGTTGAGGTGGAGCTAATTTCAAGGACTATATAAACCGTTGGGTTGTTTAATCTATAACACTGCATCTTATTTTATAAACTGATCACTTGCTTTGTATTTAAAATATTCATTTAAAAAGTAACAATAACTGTAGGGGAATAAAAGGTGCAATATTTTCTTCTGAAATTTAGTGGAGTAAAGTATGAAGTACAATTAAGTGGTAATATGCATGTAAAGTATTGTACTTGAGCAAATGTAATGTACTTGCTTACATTCCACCACAGCTGTTTGGTCCATCTGGATGAAAACATATTCTGTCCGTTGAACAAACAAAGTATATTTTTAAAAGATAATGTAGATATTTTTAAACCTGTGCCCTATTTTCACATATTTTGTTGTCGAAATAACTAGTTGCAGCTCTACAGACAACATCATGGAAAAGTACTGCTCGGACCAAGAGTTTTTGTACCTAAAATGACCTTATTTTGATATTTGAAAATAGGGTCTAAAAATACAGAAATTATCCAAGTTGCAATTTAATTTCCCACCCATGTAGCCAGACATTATTATCTCATTGCTTGTATTATATAAAAGAAAAAAACTATAAACACACTAATTTCTATGAAAGTATAAACTAATGAGTAACATCAATATAGACAAATATTACGTATAATACTTTTCAATTTTGTTCAACATATCCAGTAAGGAGTCATTTCTGGCTGCCTTTTTATTATGCCTGTAAATATCTATTTCCCTTCTCTACTCCACAGGTTGGTATGTAGTCTGGCAGCTCTTCTTGTCCAAGTTCAAGTTCCTGCGTGAACTTGTCGGGGACGCTGGCACGCCACAGGCCGAAACGCAGCCGTCCGAAACCAAGAGTGAACGCACAGTTAACGCCCCAACAAGAAATCGGCCTAGGACCGCACGCCAAAGAGTCGCCTCTCCGGAAAGTACTTCATAGATGATCCAGACAGCCACTGTGTATCCTTCACGTCTACTCGTCAGCCCTCTACAAACGTCGTGTGTGTGACCATCACAGACATTTCCCACTCACCCTGTGCTCTACACTACACAAGGACCTTGTGGACACTCAGTAGTCAGCCCTCCTCTTCACCAGGACACTTTAAACTGACCAGGCAGACCTCCTGGTTTCAAAGGGAAAAGCCATTCACTTGCATTACTGTCCATTTCTTTGTCTGTTCATATGTTTAATTATGTACAGTCATATATGTACCGGAGTCTGGGGCTCCTGTTATCCTGCAATAGTGATGGCCAGCTTTCATGAGTGGCCATGCTGCTTCCTGCCACCTATATGGAGCATAAAGATGCTCCATCACACAAAGAGATGTGTTAATTCTCTTATGTGCATGTTTTAATCTAGTGTTTTTAACAGAAGAAAGTTGTACTCTGAACAAACAAGGAAGATAACTTAAACATTTTCTCATCTACATCATGTCAACAACTGACTCTGAAACAGTGACTTGGACAACTGACAGTTTTTATTTTCTTTAAAGCGTAGCAAAGTGCAATGAAAGGAATGTTTATGCTGTCATCATGTTGTTTCTTGCACAGTACACTCTACGTATTATTACATGTAGGTAATGGCCCAAATGACACGGCTTCATTCCAGTTGTGTAAAACGTGACCTTTTTCTTGCAACTTCTCCTTCACCTCCCCCTGTTTTTTTTTTTTTTTTTCGTTTTTTTAATTTTTTTTTATTAATTATAGATTTATACTTGAAGAGTCAGGAGAAAGTATCAAGGACTGTTGGTGTTAAGAAGTGTTAAGAAGCGGCTCTCCACAGTGTTGGCTGATGTCTAGGAGCAAAGAAACGAGGCTCCTGCTGCCTGGGAGGTGTGTGAGCCCTCTTTCTTTCCCCATGCCTGTGTCTGCACCGGTGCCTGTCTACATGGCACCCACTGTTTGTTACGTGGCCTCCTTTTTGCTCAGACAACTTGCTAGCTTGTTTTCCATCACATGGAAAATCTACACTGACCAGAGCTCAGTCAACACATATGTAATATTCTCCCTCCAGGTTTAACTCATGTAACTCTTGCACCTTTTTATCAGCAGTGATTTTTTTTCTTCTTCAGTGGAGCAGTAGCTTCAAATAATTAACGCCATAAATATGTTGAGGCCTGACCTCCTTTTAGTGGAAAAGTGTTTGAGGAAAACGTCATTCTGGAGGAGATGTGATTGATGGTTCAAAGTACTTTTTTTTTATTAGCTATAAATTCCCCTGTGTAATAAACATACAAAATACTTCATAAACTGCCTCATTTTATATACACGTGGAAATACCCATGTATTAGCCATCTGGAAATTCATTTTCATTAGAGCTGATATAATTGTATACAGAACACTTTCTAAAATCCCTTTCACAATGCAGAAAAATAAATAATTAAACCATCGGGTAAATGGATAAAAACGTGAAACTAAGGAATTCAAGTACATAAGTCAGGTAAAATCAGGATCGGTTCTTTGATAAAGTTCATTTCAAGAAGAAACTCAAAGGAGTTCACTGACTCAGCTCACCTGATTTCCTGTCAACTTATGTCAGTTGACAGGAAAATTACTTCAACTGTTTTGATAATCGATTGTCATTTTATTTAAAACGGTTCTCTGGTTTAAGCTTCTCTGATGAGCTTTTCCGCACCTTGACTTTGCAGTAAATTGAATAATTTTGGGTTTTGGACTGATGTTTTATTGAACAATTAATCGAGGAAAAAAATCATAAGATTAACCGATGAAGTAAATAATTGAGAAGGCATTCAGATACAACTTTTGACCGCTTTCTGACCCAAACAGCCAGCGTGCTAACCTCAGTGGTGGAAACAACTATGTACCAAGTTCTGTACTTCACTTCAATTTTGACTTAGTGTTCCCATTTTATTCTACTCCATAATTCTCCTCTTCTCCAGTTCAGAGGTACTTTTTTACTCCATGACAATTATTTTATAACTTAAGTTACTTTGCAGATTCAGATTAATAATACAAAATATAATCAGCAAATAAATTATTATAAATTATTCTTGGTTAAGATAAAACTTTTGATCTATTGATCCCTGGGGTAAAATCACAAGCTACCCAGCAGTATATAAAGTAATTACCACACTTCCCAACTGCAACATAAAAATATGTGTACATTAATGCAGTGGTTCTCAAACTTCTTCTGTCACACCCACCCAGGTGCAAAAAAAGTTCATGCCCCCCAACCCCCACCCCAGCAAAAGTGGTTTTAATATTTATCAATCTTTAATGATACAGGGGATTGAAACAAACAAGCCTTGTCACCACATGAATCATAGTCATGCCCCCCCCCCCCCCCCCCCCCCGAAGTGGCTCTATGCCCCTCCCTCAATAATTGTAATCCAATAATATAATACATATTATTCCGAAATGGGCCATTCTGAATAAAAAGCACTTTTTACTTTTGGTAAAGTAAAGTAGTATTGCTACTTTTACTCAAGTAAAAGATCTGAGTACTTCCTCCACCAGTGGGACCTAGTAACCTAGTAACTTTGGTATCAGATATGTTTTTGCAGGCAGACTTTGTGCACAAGCTTGTGTCATGTACTTGATGAACTCTGTAAACCTCACAAGTGTTAAAGGTTACTTTCAGTGTCCCTGACATGCTAGAGTTGAACACAAGGTGGCAATATTGCAATGATAGAAGACAGCGCCAGAGCTGGAAGGAAAACTCTTTCTCACAATTGAGCAAGATAGTTGCTTTAGATGTTTTATCACTTTGGTCTGTTCAGAATTTGTGATGAAGAATCCATGTGGATAAAGAATAAAGTCCGTTCACTTTTTAAAGATGTGTTTCAACGGGACCATTCAAATGTGAAGACAAAAAAAGGACAATGTTCTAACAAATAGAAATATTATTAATAAATGCCTAGTTTACATCAGTGAAGGATTCATGAAGTTTTCCCTTAATACTCTGGAATAAAAAGTGCAGCTGTTTTATTTTTGAGAGGAATTCACAAATAAAAAAAGATGCTAAAACTTAACAAAAATAAAACAAATACTAACATAAAAACACTTGTCCTGACCCCAAGTGAGCTCCTCTGCGCCCTTTTAGTCATGTTGGCTGATTTTAAATTACTGCCATGAATTAATGTCCCAGAACTCAATGCAGTGAATTATTCTACTGTAAGTATAATCTGGTTTGAGCCTGTGTAGCTTTGAAAGACGATTTTAGTCTGACAAGGCTTAATCCACTTCAGCCTCAAGGATCATTAGCTTATTCCTTATTCCAGTTTGTACTTGATACAATGCAGTGACTGCAAACATGAAGCATAGTGTCATCTAAAGGATAAAATGTATTTATAAAACTGGAAAGCTTGAGCAACAGAAGGGTAAAGCAGTAAAGTTAAATATATACGACTAACACAAAGTTCAAATGTATTGAATTTCCTCAGAGCTTGTGGTATTTTTGGACCCTTTTTTGTGTAAGTCAGCTCTTTTAACTTAAATGATATTTTCACTCACAATTGCAACACAAACTTATCCTTTATCTGCAGTTACAGCTTTATATTTGCAGTTTTAGAACCAAAAAAGCACCAAGGACACAGTGATGGAAAGAGTGTTGGAAATACTGTACTTTTCACTCCTAGATATATGTGAAAGCTCTAGTTACTTCACAGATAAAGTGAAAATGTGATAAACAAATACATTCTGATGTTTTATTAACAGTATATATATACATTTACTAGCTGCAACATTAAAGTGATACATGAATGCATGGTAAAAAAAATCATAAAAAATACATGTTATTTTGGAATGAGGCTTTCTGCATAAAGATTACCTTATATTATAGAAGAAATATAAAAGAAGAAATATTTAAAGTGCAGTAATTGCCACATTTCACTGTGGTATGACTCAGATTTTGAGCACCCACTCGTCCAGATATTATGCATTCATCATCTGCTGGAAAACAGATGCAGAAAATTAAGAAACCACCCTTACAGTAAATTGACTATGAGGCAAACCTTCACTCGTAGTTTCATTCATACTAATGATGCCACCTCTCCTTCTGATCTGGTTGACTGTATTTCTGCCTGCAGCTGGGGCCTTTATATATATTTTTTTCTTTTTGAGAAAAGGAGGGCCTGCTGAGCTATGAAGCTGTAATTTCAGAGCCTGCAAATACTTTACAGGAAATGATTGTGGTAAGCCAAGGAAATGACATAGACTCTCCAGTGCTCCTCTAACTCTCTGTATATATACAGCACATAGACTGTATGATACAGCAAGAGCAGGCTCCCTGCTCCTGTTGTTGGCTCTAGGTACTGCACATTTACCTCTCTGATGACCTTTCACTGTTTGTTCTCTCAACAATCGACAGGTGAGCAGCTGACCTCTTGATTGCTCCTGCTCTTGTATATCACTGCAAATTTCCATCTCAGCAGCCCAACACCTGTTTGCTGTTTCTCCTCTCGACTAGACGGTATGTCATCGGGGAGCTTGAAGACAACTGCTCCAGGGGATTGTGCAAAACGCAGCTTCAGCTCTCTGTCTCTGCACCACCTTGCGTAGTTGTGCAATTGTGGTAAACCAAAGACATTTATGAGATGTTTGGCGAGCTGCCCCTGGTGACACACACACAGAAGCTGCGGCTGCTGCTTTTGAGTCCAGGACTGTGTGTTCTGGCCTGAATTGATGTATTAGACCTGCCAGGACTAAAATAACTCATTGATGCATCAATCTCTCCCCAGGTCTCAAGCATTTATCAGCCAAAAGCTATTTTTCTCACTTGTTTAGGACCACAAGATGTCTTGAGATGCAAAAGAAAAAACAGCTAAACAAGTAGAGCTATATCTAATGTAAGGTATCTGTTGAGCCACGGCTAGCTTATTTAGCTTAAGCTAAAACTAAATTGACTTATTTATTTTCCCTACCTCCCTATGAAATTATTTTTTGGATAAAATAATCAGCCTAAAAAGGATAAAATGTAGGCATTACACCTTTCTATCTGTTTGTGGCCAGCCTGAAAACATGATACCCTTTGTTCTCAACATCACTGCTTCTGTAGTTTCTGCTCTCTTTGCAGAACACATTAGCAGAAGACAGACTTATAATATGGACCTGACATCTCCTGATTTACAATGTCTATCTGCAGTTTTGGGTTAAATGGGAACCCTTTTAAAGTCATTGCAAATTCCTTTCTTTCTCATCTCCCTGGAGAGCACAGAGGGGAATGCAGTGAATAATAAAAACAGCTAGATTGCTTGTAAGTGCCAGCCTGTGTGAGCTCAAAGGATTTTTAATGAGATTTTCTGATTGGGAGCTGAATGTGGGGGGTTTGGAAGTCTGACTGTGGTCATGGGCACCTCTTTCTTCACACAGTCCCATCAATCTAAGTATAAAACAGATTCTCCACAGGGAGAGACTATATTTCACTCAGATTATAATGAAAGAGAGGAAAGAGGGGCAGGTAATGATGAGGAAAACACAAACTCTGTTTTTAGTTGTATCCTTCCGTTAGTTTCTGTAGTCGTAAACACCCAAACCTCTAACTTTATGCTCCCAAGACTCTCCGACATTTTATCAGTTCACCACACTTTGAACCAGAGAAAATGTGTTGCAGCTGATAGGGTCACCCTGAAAAACATGTTTCTCACGGTCCAGAGAACATGTGTAGCAGCGTTTAGTCCTTTACTTGCCCTCCCATTAATCTCTCTGTGTCATATCT